CGGGCGTCGGGAGCACTCGCGCGCCCCACCTGTCGCCGTGCCACACCATGCCGCCGGAAAGTCTGGTTCCCATTAAGTTCAATGGGAGGGAAAAGCAATATTCTCCCACCACTACCCTGACAAAAAATGGTGGCATATAGCCACGGACATGGGCTGAAGCCTTGGTCCTCCTACAGACCATCACAGTGCTGCCATTTCTGGGTCCTCTGCTGGTGATGCAGAGCTGCCACCAGATTTACCCTGGTGCCGTCATGGGGGGGGTGTCACGATGCTGCATGGGTCTCAGGTGCTATCTAACGGGCTATAGGACTACACTGTTAGAAAATTATTTGACTAGAGACAAAGCGGAAGGACCACAGAAGACTTGGAAAATTTACTCTGGCAAAGGCTTACCAAATGCTTCTGTTTTTAACTTGGATCCTTCCATTTGAAAGAACAGCGCTGTAATCCTGGCTCTTCCTTTCCCTTTAGAAAGAATATAGAAGGTGTAAGGGGGAATACCAAAGTAGTGAACAGACATGCACATTGTCCACAGCATTTTGTTCCCTGTCAAGCATACACCCACTGGCAAGCCAGGCTTTGATGCTGTATGAATTTGTGCATCTCATTTCACTGTACTCCCTACTGTCACCAAGCCTCATCCTCTCATCCTCTTCTCATTCCCATCTCTGCTCCTTTCACCATGGTGCTCCTTATGCCCTGAAGAGGCACTCAGTGTACCTATAGATTTCCAATGTGTCTCCTCTCATTTTATGAAGGGAATTAATCCTCTTCAGCTGAAGTTGATGGGGGCACTCAACATTGTTTAACTTGAGGGCACTCAGTAGGCTGTTTCTGTCGAAGTCAATGCATTCTCATAATGGTACGAGACAACTAGCATGTGAAGGAGATAAAACCTTAATGCATTGAAAGCTGCTCTTTAAATTGGAAATTGTCATAAAATTGCAAGTATAAAGAACAAAAGTCTACAATATAGAACGCTTAATCCAAGGGTTCTTAGAGCCACAGCAACCATGAGGAAGCTTGAACCCACAGTAGTTCAGTGTTACAAGCAACATTCTTGTTACATTGTCTCACATTCTGTTTGCACACAAGTCTGCATGTAGTATATCTATGTCTAAAAGCTGTGGCCTGTCATGCTTCCCTAAAATATTCACAGGCATATAAAACAGACAAGTTTGCAAGTACACATGATTTGCATACCATTTTCTGCATGGAGCACTAGCTAAGCAGGAAATTCACTGACTGGCCAAATTCGATATATTCAGTTAAAGATATTTAAGGGTTCCCAGGGATAGTATCAAAGCTAGCAAAAGATCACTTGTTCAACCTTGGCAGTAAGCATATCTAAACATTCACTGAAGAAGCTTCCAGATGTTGTTTTCTGCAGCAATGGCAGCCACACACTAATAGATCAAACAGGAATTATTTTAAAGAAGAGGTACCTATTATGAGAAGGGAGAGTCCACCTATTTTAGGAGAGAGGGGAGACCCCAGGGTCACTGACACTGATTTCGTGCAATAGATGTTTTTTCTATTTCCTCCATCCAACTAATCCAGCTAATACGTTTGAACTAGCAGAAGTCAGTGCAGGGATTGGAAAAATGCACACCTGTTTTATGCCTGAATGACACACTGACTCAATGTATCAAAAGCATTATGAACACTGAGTAAACTAGAATAATACTGTTACTAGATTCTCTGGTATGGTATAGCCAGGAATCTCTATACATAGCAGAGCACACTAGGCTGCACGCAGCGGCAGTTTCTCAGTACTGTGTGCTAGCAAAGTTACAGAGTTACACAGAACCACTTGTCAGTTTCAAACTAATAAGAATCCTTTATTCAAGGAACTACATTCTCCCCTGTTTCCCCGAAAATAAGACCTACCCCAAAAATAAGCCCTAGCAGGATTTCTATGCATTTGTGGTATAAGCCCTAGTGTGTCTTCTTGAGAAAAAATAAATATAAGACAGTGTCTTATTTTCGGGAAAACACGATAGATAGTGCAGGTTGAGAGATAAGGTTAGAATCTAATATAACTAGGTAGATGGATGAGGATGGAGAATGCCTGTTCTGCATCCATGGTGACAAAAATGGAGAGCGTGTGCTCCTTCTTTGTGTGTGAGAGAGAAAGTGTCAAGCCAGGTGGAAAGAAGTCTTGTCCCTAAGAAAAACATTCTACTTCAAAGGATAGTATCAGATAGCAGGAAGGAAATGGTGCTCTGTGTGGGTCCTGACTTCTCTGTCTCTAAATCTATGGTGCTGTCTCTGAAGGCTGAGGCAAGGGACAGTGTACACTCCTCCACTTCCAACAACTGTGATGGGCAGAAGAAGATTCTGCCCTCTTTTCTTCCCCATTCAGCTTGGACCAATCAGATTTAAAACATTGAATAGAATGTTGGAGGCAAAAAACAACAACAACAACCTGAGGAGGGGACAGAGAAGAGGGGTTGTTGTGTTTTGGAAGGACTGGGGACAGACGATATCTTGAAATAGGCAGGGAGTCCCATTGGGACTGCTGAACATTGTTTAGAGAGGCAGACTTTCAGTGCTTCTCCTATGAAAAACAGTAAAGGTTTAATGCTTGTCTCATTATTCTTTCCAAGTATGAGCCTCTTAGGAAGCTTATGTCGTAACAACCAAGCATAGAGCACCTCCCAACTCTGGTAAATGGTGTCATGTCATACTAGAGTGAGGGAATTAAGTGCCATGCTTACAAACTAAATAAATTTAAGTGTGTTTGTTACCCTTGACTCCAGTATTCTCATAAACCCATATAATCTCTATAGGAGCAAAGCAAAAGGGGTTGGTACTCTGTTTTAAGGATTAAACAATCCCGTGTAAAGGAACAGGAAAAATCCCCTTGGCCTCACTCTCCAAACACTGAAGGGGAACTTTTTAAAAGGCAGTATGAATATTCACAACCCTCCAGCCCATGAGACTTCTTTTAGGGCAATTACCTATAAAGAGGGGAAAGCCTGGAGTAGGGGTCATGTCAAAGACCCTAAGCAAGAACTGACATTTTCACTGGAAGGCAAAAATGCATGGCACATTAGTGAAGAACATACTTCTCCTGATTTCAACAGCAAAGCAAACCCTCTCCAGGTGCATCTGAGTCCTCACCAATACTGTTCTTTTCAGGAACCTGCTGGCACTTTCAGTGCAGGACTGTTGTTCCTAAACAGCAGCCTTGCCCCCCTTCTTTGCATCACACTGGACACAAATCTTTAATGGGAGAGGTAGAGAGAGGAAGACAGGCTTCTCTGGGTAAGTTCAGATGAGTAGCTGCATTGGTCTGTAGTAGTAGAACAGAATTCGAGTCCAGTAGCACCTTAAAAACCAACAAATATTCTACAGTAATAAGTTTTCATCAGAGACAAAGTGAGCATTGACTCACAAAATCTTATACCCTGAAAATGTTTGTTGGACTCAAATTTTGTTCCCTGGGTAAACATTGCCTCATTTTTATCAAAGTAGTATGCAAGGAAAAGAACACTGCCCAAAACTATCAACAAAGAAGTCACTATAAATGGACAAGATCCACACCATCTCCTTTCATACCACACTGATTTTTCTGTCCTGTTTCACTGCTTCTATACATGGATTGTTATAAATAGATTCCCTTTCTTTCTTTCTTTTTTTAAAAGGCAATTGTTTTGCCTGCGCAAGTTTTAGTGCTGTCATTATTATGAGATTTCAATAATTATAGCACTCTGCTTTTTAGAAATATGTTAATGAGCAGGCCTTCAGAATCGTCTGAGAGTCTTCTCTCGCACTCCCAGTCTGACTGGAATTTAATTTGGCATGCCTGTTTACAAGGAAAATAAAATCTCCTCAACAGGAGTAAAAAGCTAGAAAGGGTTAGGGCCTCTATCCTGCTGTTGTCATGCAGAACAACTGATCTCAGATGTAGACATACAACTCCATTTTTATCCAAACGTGTTCGAAGCCAAGTGTGAGCATCTTGTTGTAAATGCATGTTGAAAGTATGTGCAGCTCAAAATCTGAATACTTCACAGCCATAAAAATATGCCATTCTGCAATATGCCATAATATTGCAACAGATGTCTACAGCAAAGGCTTAGAAACCAGAAAGCAACAGTGACCAGATCCTTTAAGATGTGAATTATATATCTATAACATTATCTATACACCAGTTTCCATATTTATTTCACTTAGATTAATTTCACTTAGAATAAATTAGGGAATGGAATGAATGGAACTATTTTTGTTGTTCCTGTTGACTTTGTTTTCTCTGTGATGTAATTATTTTTAAAGTCATGAAAGAAAGCTTGTTTCATGAAACCTTTGATTACCATACACTCACTCAATGCACAGCAACTATTTTTAAATACTTTTTAACAGTAATGACAACTATATCCATATAGTCTTCAATGCTGCGTATGTTTATTTGGATTGTTAATCAGCAGTGATTACTGGCTGCATTTTAATAAAGATGATTCATGTTTTCCCCTCTTCAAATGTCTAGAGTTCAGGATTGGTTTCAGAAAATCTTACATCTCAGTCCTATCACCCCTGCCCGGGGGGGGGGGGATACTAATTGATTAGCCCGAACTTCTTTGCAACCGCATCTTCTTTTGATCACAGATCTAAGCAGCCATAAGATATTGTAAAAGTTGGATTTCATATCTTCTACAGCATCTGAGTAGATGACTGTAAATCTGAACTTCTCACCACAAAAGCCTAAGCACATTCTCAACACAAATAAAAGGGAAAGGATGGAGTCAAAGGGTGTGAGATACAGAGATTCCCCCCCCCCCCAGGTTTAAGTTTACAATAAAATACGTATTCAATTATCCGTGCATAAGAAGTTGTGCTGGGAGGAGAAGGAAGATGTGACAAATGAGACCAATCCATCATAACCTTTTTCTGATCAAGCAAATCGGGATTCATTTCAAAAAGTTTCTGAAACAGCTTGGAGGAATCCTAAACTTGTTATTTGCTCAGGATAGTTTGACAGAGTCCTGGGTACTTACTGTTACATTGCCAAGTAGAGGGTGTTCTTGGGGCACAGCTGAATCCAAGGAGAGTCCCCGTCTTGCCCAGTATTTACTGGAGAACATCATCATTGCTGGCTGCATAGCGACCGATGTAATTTTTTCTCTTTACAGCAGGGGGAAGCCTGATGTCAGGGCTGCCTATAGAGAGCTGTCCACCACTCTGGTGCTGAATAAGGAGCAATCCAAAAGCTTCTCTCATGAAGACTCTTTTTATATGCCCGGGCAAAGACTGATGAAATGCTGATTAGGAAAGCCTTGTCAAAGCTGGCACATCAAAGCCCCACCGTAGGAGGAATACATTTTTTTTCCTATAAGTGATCTGGTCTCTTCCAAATGCAATAAACAACTGGGGCAATCTAGCCATCCCAGGCTGTTTGCTGCTTCTGCTTGATACACCGCTGCTGACAAGCTATGGGGCACAAGTAGCAGCTGCATTTTTATTGCTAGTTCTGAACAACAGCTGGCTGAGGGTTTTTTTTTTTATAAGAAGTCAGAGGGTCACAGAAGGCACTGATGGAGAAAAGTGCAACAAACCAACGCCTTGAACTTTAGACCCCTGAGAGTAACAGAGCTGCTTAACTACTTCTCTAGTGCTCCAGTTGATGGTCAATTATTATTTAGATTGCTTATGCTCAGAATAAGACTGCCTGTATTTTAGAGTGTGTTCCGTTTGCGCCAGGAATCAATTTGTGCTCTGTTTTGCACATTACGTTTTCAACCATTGTGCGGCTATCTTCCCATTTCGATATTGTATCCCAACAATTTGTTTGTACAAACTGATTACTACAGTCTGAAAATGCAAGAAGTGAAAGGCAATTATAAATTTTCAAAGGGATAAAAGAAAAACAGGGAGTACTTTGTTTATTTACCTGGTGCCAAACTGTGCCTGCACTGCCACTAAAACAACTTGCTGTCCTTGCCCTGCTTTGAATAGACACATTCTAGGAAACACTTTTTCCATGGAAGATAGAAACCCATTCAAGAAAAAAAAATCCATTCTTCAGAAACACTCTGATGAATGTCCATACCAAATAAAGGACTTGGGGCTCAGATGTGTATATTCTGATGCAGCTGCTGGGTCTGCACAAGGAAACCCATGCTGCCAGAGAGAGAAAGCTGCAGAAAGGGTGAGGGATGGGCAGTCCAAAGAACAGACTGTGGCATAGTACCCTCTTCATACCTTTTGCTTTATACTTTCCTCCAACAAACTCAGTGTGGCAGGCATGGTCTCTCCCCCATTTATCCTCACAACCACCAAAGGAGGTACCTCAGGCTGAGTAACTGGACCACAGTCACCCAGGGAGTTTTCTGTGAGAATGAGAATCAGAATGTAGGTTTTTTCAGGTCCTAGTCCAACCACTACACCAAACTGACATTTTTCACATTTTAAAACAGATTTTGACATGGGGAAATGCCCCAGCCAATTTGCACAAACCAAATTGTGTTAATTAGCAAACAGTTAAACAGAATCTTTTCAACATATCTCTGAAAAATCCAGAATACCTTCATCTTCCAGGAAAAAAGGGCTAACAAAGTGTCCCAGAGATTTAAAAACAGCATCACCAAACATACTCTCATGTGCCAGTTATGTTCTTCAGACAACCTTGTCCTCATGGTGCCCAGTTAGAACTATCTGTACAACATCTAGACCATGGGCATTTCCTGTACTGGGTCCAGTCCTATGGGATGGTCTACTAGAGTGGGTGCAGAAGATGCCTTCATACTGTACATTTAGGAAGGCATGTAAGAGAAAGTATGCAGAGGAGTGTAATTTTTTCCCCAGATTTGGCTGCATTCTTTTTCACAGAGTAATTTTTTTAATTGAGTGCACTCTGCATTTCATTTCTCTGTGCTTTTAATCTGTAAACTGCGCTTTGTGAAGCTTGCGTTTTAAAAATCTTAATTGGAATTTACATTGTGTGTCCTGGCAACCTCATATTGCATTGTTAGCTGCCTTGAGCCTGAAGAAATAAGGCAGGATATAGTTTAAATAAATCAACCATCTCCATGTAGTCTACTGTTTTTGTTTGAACACTTTACAGACAATCCTATGCAGTGTTACTCCACTCTAAGTTAATTGAACTCAATGGGTATAGACTGAAATAACCCTGGATAGGATTGCAATGCAAGTTATCTTAATATTGCTGGACTTTTAAGGGTTCTAAAACCCATTTTCATCCAGAGATATTCAAGAATTTGTTTATTTGCCACTGACTAGATTTCTGAGCATCTCAAACGGTGTTCTTTTGGATAAGATGTAACCTGTATACAGGCTCCAGAATGGCAATGCTGATGAAAAGGGAGGACGCCTGTGCTTTGCCGTCTTAGGGTGAGTACAACATAAATCCTGCTTTCTTTAAAAATATGTGCATTTATTATATAGTACCACTGGAATCAAGTGATTTCATAAATTGGTCCATGCTTTATGCCAAGAAAGTGGTTCCACTTTATCCAAGTAACAAAGGTTCAAGTAGTCAGTTCAAAAGCAACTGAATAAGGGATAACAGATTACAATGAGTACCCAGCAAATACATTTTCCACCAGGGGATGTAGATTTGCACTTTAAAACCCAGTTCTTCTTTTAAGAACATAAGCCTCTACAACTGCCAATGTTAACTTTTCATAGCTGCGAAAAATGGGCTTTGTAACATGAATGAATGAAAGCTCTTGAAATTGTCTCAGAGGTCCCATTCTCAAGTGTCAGAGTGAGCTCCACACACAGCAGCATTTTCAAGCCCCATGTTTACAAAAGCACTCCCTCTGGACTACACACTAGCCTCCAAAATTGAAGGATGTTTCTGCCAAAGTGCCAGTTGATGGGGAGGGAGCAAAACCAAATAATGAAGACCTCGCATACATACATGAAAAGTATAACACTTGCCTTAAGGAGTTTTCTGAATTGCTTTTATAGTCAGAGAACCTCATATATCCTCAAAATGTCACGATTTTTCATGGAATTTACATCAAGACAATGCAATTACAATTTAGAGGTATACAAAGATCTGTGGCAGTCATGCCACATGACCCTCATTTTTCCAGCAGCCAGCAGTTCACTGCAGTTCTCAATATAATAATTGCCTTCAAGTATAAATATGTTTTAGAACCTTCCCACATTTAGCTTATAGACTCTGCTAGAATAATTCTTAAGACTTAGGGCAATGTACACATAAAATACAGAAAAACCGAAGCTCAACTGGACAACAGAAAAGGCAAAGTGGTTCAAAAATTATTTCCTGTGAGCAGGAAATGAAAGACCAGGGATGCCAGGCCTTAAATCCTTGCCTTTCTGTAAAACAGGTTTCTTTGTTATTAACTGATCAAAGATAAGCACACTGATGATATTAAAGCCCAGGATTGCAGAGATTTCACCTACTGATGTGGGTTCTTGTAACTGAAGATTAGTCAGTTCTCCCCATTATTGCAGCATCTTGGCTTTATCTCCTGCAGTGACGGCGTCTGTACAAACATTCATTAGTTACTCGCTGTATGTTTTTCAAAAGGTCTACATGGACTTTGGGGGCAATCTGAAAAACTGCTTGCATTATTTCACCCCCTCTCCAACAAAGATTAAAAAGTATCTAGTCAGATTTCACTGCCTATATGTGATCTGGAAATGTTGAGGGGGAAATATGCACAGGAAGGATGGGAGATGCTGAGAAATGAAGTGCGTAAGGCACCATCGCAAACTGTCCCGATGAGAAAGAAAGGTGGGAGACAGGTAATGAAGCCAAGGTGGCTGAACAAGAACTCTCTGAAGAGCTGAGACTAAAAAGGGAAATTACAGAAATGGAAGGAGGGACATATTACTGAGGGTGAGTATAAGAAGCAGGATCGAATCTGTAGGGATGGTGTCAGAAAGGTTAAAGCGCAAATGGAGCTGAGGCTTGCAAGGGATGCTAAAAATAACAAGAAAGGTTTCTATGCCTATGTTTGGAGCAAAAAGAAGAACAGGGATGGGGTAAGCTCATTGCTAGGGGAAGATGGTCAAGCCTTAACAAGGGATGAAGACAAAGTGGAATTACTCAGCTCTAACTTTGCATCAGTCTTTAACCATAAGGAGAGCTGTATACAAACTGAAGAATGCAGGGCATATGAAGGAAGAACTGCCAGTCTAGAGTAAGTAAAGAGATGGTTAGAGAGCATCTAGCTGCCTTAAATACTTTCAAATCTCCAGGGCCAGATGGCTTGCATCCCAGGGTGCTAAAAGAAATTGCAGATGTTATTTCAGAGCCTCTGGCTGTAATCTTTGAGATTTCCTGGAGTACTGGTGTTGTGCCAGAAGACTGGAGAAAAGCGAATGTTGTCCTGATCTTCAAGAAGGGGGAAAAAAGACAGACCCAGGAAATTACAGGCCTGTCAGTTTGACATCAATACCTGAAAAAATTCTAGAGCAGATTATTAAATGCTCTGTCTGTGAGCACCTTGAATGGAATGAGTTAATTGGTAGTAGCCAGCATGGGTTTATCAAGAATAAGTCATGCCAGACCAACCTTATCTCCTTTTTTTGACAGTTACTAAAATGGTTGACTCTGGCAATGCTGTGGACATAGTGTATCTAGATTTCGGTAAAGCATTTGACAAAGTTTCTCATGATATCCTTGAGGTTAAGCTGGATAAGTGTGGGCTGGATGGTGCAACCGTTGGATGGATTCATGGTTGGTTGAAAAATCGTACCCAACGAGTGCTCATAAATGGCTCTGCATCTATGTGGAGGCAAGTCTTGAGTGGAGTGCCACAGGGCTCGGTCCTGGGCCCGGTGTTGTTCAGTGTTTTTATAAATGACCTGGAGGAAGATGCTTATCAAATTTGCAGATGACACGAAGCTGGGTGGGATTGCTAATTCTAGATAGAGATAAGTCTTACACTTAGGTACAAAAAACGTTAGGTACAGATATAGAATGGGAGGGACTTGGCTTGAAAGCAGCACATGTGAAAGGGATCTGGGTATTCTGGTTGATCACAAGCTAAACATGAGCCTCCAGTGTGATGTGACTGTGAAGAAAGCTAATGCAATCTTAGGATGCATTAACAGAAGCAGAGCTCGTTTCCTGCCGGAGCGCACAGGAGCAATGCTCTGGCAG